AAAAAACAAAAACAAAAACAAAAATAATCTAAATTACGCTTAGCATGTAATCTAGCACTTGTAATCTTAGGTATTTACCCAAATGAGTTACAAATTTATGTGCAAACAAACCCTACCCATAATTCTTATAGTAGCTTATCCATGATTGCCAAAGGTGGGAGCAAGTAAATGTTCTCAATGATATATGGATAAACAAACCATGGTACCTCCGTGCCACAAACACTGATCATCAATGAAAAGAAACAAACTGCTGAGCCATGAAAAGACATGGAGGAAGTTAATTCATTGTTCCTCCCTTCGTCCTTGACATGTCTTACTATGTAATCCAGACTGGCTTGGAACTTGCAATCCTCCTACTTCCATCTGCTGAGTGCTGAGATTTACAGCAGGTACTACCATGACTGCCTTTTCTTTCTTTTTAAAATTGTTTCACTTCCTTTGTATATATTCTTGAGCAATATTTTGCTTGGTTCTCCAGCCTTGAACTTTAAGCATGCAAGGAGACACTTGGAGTTTTCACCTGTGATTGCTCTTTACATTCCTCTTGTCACGTTGTTGATATTCATCCAACATTTCCTCCTTTTGGAAATGCCACAACACATGTACCCATCCCATTGGTAAGCACAGTGGGCAGCTCCCAGCGTGGGGCTCTCTTGATCAGTGTGCTCTGAACACCCATGCTAGGGTCTTTCCTGGTACGCGGTGAGACTTGCCCTAGGGATGTGCCCTCATGGTCTCACTGGCTGTGGGAGGGCTTGTGCACGTCAAACTATTTTCCAAGTGACTGTGCCAAGGTACTGGCTTCCGTTTCCTGTGTCCTCCTAGCACTTGGTCAGCCAGACAAGCCACCTATTCTCCAGATGCACCTGCTTTGCCTACATGCCCATCCCCCCTCCTTTGCACATCCCTGCCTCCCTGGTCCTCAGCTGAGAAGCTTCTTTGCCCTAGGAGGCCAGACTGGGACTCTCCTCAGGCTCCTCAGCACCTTGGACTCTACCAGCAAAACTGGCCCACGTGCAGAGCCAGTTAGCCACAAACTTGTCTGTCCTCTCTGCTCCAAAAAGCCTGAAGGCAGCCATCTCTCATCACTGTGGCCTCTCTGGCATCCAGTACAGGCCCAATGCATAGATGGGTCATGCTATGGACTTGCTGGAAGTTGTTGGGATATGTGAGGGCGGGCTGAAGTTAGGTGCAGCACACCGGGAGGCTGGAGGGATTGTGATTCAGACCTGGAGGCTATGGTGGTACAGAGGCTGGTGTGATCTTGGGCAAATCACTGAACCTCTCTGTGCATTTTGCAGTTTTCTCATCTACTAATGGAGAAAATACTAGCTCCTAATTCCCAGTGTTGTTATAATGATTAAATTAAATGAGTTCATATTTGTAAATTTTGGAATAGTTCCTGGTCTAAGACAAGTACAGTATCCATATTTATTGCATAAAAATGAATGAGGAGGGACCAGACTGCCTTCTCCAGGACTTCTGGGATTTCTATGCCCTGGACACCTGGGTGCTCTCTCAGAGGGAGAATCTCCTCCATGAGTCCTTCCTCTTATTCTTCAGCCCTTTGTCCTATTTATTTACCTCCAAGTGCAATCAGACAGCCTCCGGCACCATGAGATCAAGGCTGAGGCTGCCATGAATTGTCTGTCCTCATGGAAAATGCCACAGGGCCCTGGTTGAGCAGTGTGAGGCTCTGTCCCAGGGAGCTGGTGTGGGGGGTCTCACTCCACAGAGTCCTGAGGAGGAAGTTCAGGAAGTTGGGGAAGGGAGCAGGTATGGCAGTGAATCCAGGACATGTCTCCATAGTTTGTGACCCCGGTACTGGAAAACTCAAACCATTTACTTAGTAGAGAACATTCTGGAAGGGGCAGAGGTTTACAAAGCTTTTGAAGTGTAACCCAGAGTGAGGCCTGGGGTCTTAAGATGTTCGGAGAGTCCAGAGCAAACCAAGGAGCATGGGAGGTTAGGGGAGGAGGGACAGACTGCAAAGACCTTTGATCACCTCCCCTCAAGCCTAGACTTTTTTCTCACTGAAGATTCTGGTAAAAAGCAGTCCCTCAAAGCAGACTTCAGGACACCCCACCCCTGGGCATGTCGTTCAACCACCATGCTGTGCCTGACAGAGAACGGTCTGCGAGAAACCAACAGACAGCTTGGCATCACTTGGTGGAAAAACGACAGTAACCTGACAGGGCTGTGCTTGACAAATCAAAGGGCTCTGTTACCATGACAACGAGCAACGGGGGGGGGGGGGGCAACCCTAAAATAAGAGCAGAAAAAGAGGTACTGGCCAGAAAGATTCGAGACAAATTTTAGCAGATACCAGGAGGGAAACAAGACAGCAGAGCATACATGGGTCTCGAGTTGGACCATCCAGGTGCCCAGGCAGGACCATCCCCCTTCCCAGACTTGGTTTCTCATCTATGCAGAAAGGCCCTTCTCACTTTGAGAACACTGCCCTGGAAGGTCTGGGATGTGCTAGGCTTCTACACAGAGTCACTAATGGCAATACTTACTATAGAATGAAAGGAAAAAAGTTAAGACCCATGACCCGACGCCATCAGTCAGACAAATCCAACAGCACGAGGTTTATCCTGTTAGATGGGGAGCGGGGAGACAAACAGCACTGGCTTCTCAACTTTCAGAGTCTGCTGACATAGGTTGACACCAACCTGCAGGCTTTTCTCTGCCACTGCAGGAGTCCCGGGACCGCTGAGCACACTTGGCCTCCATGTTAACTTAGGGGAACGCTATAGCCTTCCAGCTTCTAGAACTGCCCCGGGGCTTATCATCCAGCCCCCTGGGGCTGGTCTCTGGTCATCTGGCCCAGCTCAGGCCTCCCCATTGGCTCTTCCTCACTGCCTTTACTCCTCTCCCCTGATTTCCTGGGCCCTGTCTTCCCTTGATTCTAATTTGAGGCTTTATCTGCAGGTGTGAAGACATTTGCCCCTCTCACCCACTTTGTAGATCTGTGACTAATGCACAAAGAAAGACAGGAAAGCCTGGAACATGGCAAAGAAGTGTCCAGGTGTTGAGGGAGGGTGGGCTATTGGGTGAGAGGGCAGTTAGTGGTGTTGTCACTAACCTGCTAGGCAAGTTATACCACCTCTCATCATTAAGATGGGGTTAACCATAGCTTCAAAGACTGTTATGAAGATTAGACAATACATGATGCCAGCTGTCACCACCATTGCCCCCATCACCACCACCACTATCACCATCACCACCATCACCATCACCACCATCGTCATTGTGGTTGTTATTACCATCACCTCAGCCTCTCCCCAGCTCAGGGACCCAGCTCTTCAATGACAGCTCTTCCAAGTGTGGACAGCTGCCTGGATTTTTACATCCTGGTGCTGGGTGGGGAATTCCCATGGCCTCGAGTGGGTGGAGAGGTGCTCTTTTGCCAACTGGGCACAATGAAGGGTGACCAGATATCACCTTCCCTCTGGAAAAAGCCTGTCTGCCTGAGTAACCTCAGCTGCCTTCTTGCCCATGGGCACAGCCAGTATCACTCCATCCTCTTTGCAGCTCTGGCCTCTTCTGCCTGGAGCCGTTTCCTTTCTGGAGGGCACAGAAGGTGGCCGATGGTGGGGCACAGAAGGTGGCCGATGGTGGGGCACAGTTCTGAGTCTCTTTTCAAAATGGCCTAACTCCTCACTGACTGCATAACTCCTCACTGACTGACTGCATAACTCCTCACTGGCTGCATAACTCCTCACTGACTGCATAACTCCTCACTGGCTGCATAACTAACTCCTCACTGGCTGCATAACTCCTCACTGACTGCATAACTCCTCACTGGCTGCATAACTAACTCCTCACTGGCTGCATAACTCCTCACTGACTGCATAACTCCTCACTGGCTGCATAACTCCTCACTGGCTGCATAACTCCTCACTGACTGCATAACTCCTCACTGGCTGCATAACTAACTCCTCACTGGCTGCATAACTCCTCACTGGCTGCATAACTCCTCACTGGCTGCATAACTCCTCACTGGCTGCATAACTCCTCACTGACTGCATAACTCCTCACTGGCTGCATAACTCCTCATTGGGCAGCGTAAACCCTGTCGGTCTCAGGATGAACGTGGCTGGCTACCTTACTTGCCAGAGAGTCCTTTTGTTTAAAAGGATGAAACCCCGTCCCCAGTGCATCGAACCACCATTTCTGGTTTAGTTTAAGAATACACACTAAGTTCCAGAAAGAGGTTTCCCTAGCAATGCAGTGAGAAAAATGGAGGCTTTCCATTGCCTTGGTTGAATTTGCTATGTGGACGTAAACAGCACATCCCAGGAGAGCCAGCTGCATGCCACAAAGGCTGTTCTAGCAGAAAGTCAACAAAGCTATGACTTCCAAGGAACTCAGACTTCCCTGGTGTTACGATATATACAATTAGATATGTGATATATACAATTAAATCAAGACACACACATATATACCCACATTTTCTGATATAGAATTTTGCTATACATAGCCCAGACTGACCTTGAACTTGTAATTCTCCTGCCTCAGCCTCCTGAGTGCTGGGAATAGAGGTGTATACCACCATACCTTGCTTATATATATATATATTTAACCGCACTTTTATGTCAGATTCTTTATCTTACAACAAACAGGATATCAAATGTGTGAAAGAAGTATTCTGCCCATCACCTTGAAGTTCACACGGGAACTAGAAAGCGCTACCAGAATGTCTGTTCCCGCAGGGGACTACTTTAAAGGAGGACCATGCACTGTGATTTCTCAAAAGAGGATCAGGACGACGGGGCCTGCTGCTACAGTGTTTGAGAACATACGGTTTTAGGTAGCCCGACATGTCCCCTTTACTCTGCATCTATTAATATTGCTATTAAATTGTTTCATGTTACCTGTACTCGGCCTTCCCGAGATAACGCATGTCTTGAGTGGAAGGAAGTGACTTAGCAGCAGTCTGGCTGTCCTGTGTCGGGGAGCTGTGCTGCAGGCCTGCTCCAGCCGCAGCTGCTTACCTCCATGCTGTACCTTTCCACCGTCCTCCGCAGGGGGTCCACGGCCTGCCAGCATATGAGGATGCACAGGTCGATCAGCAGCATGCCCCCCACGATCACCAGCAGCTTCTGGTCCTTGATGATCTGCAGAGGGAAGAAGTCGAGGGGCAGAATGAGGAAAAGCATCCCCTGGCTCAGCTGAGAGGCCTGGCCAGGGAGGCCCCTGGTTATGGACTCAAGACTTCCCACCACCCAAGGAAAAACAGCCAAGTTTCTTTGCCCAGCATTCAAGGACTTTCCTGAGCTTGGTCCAAACAACCCCCCAAACGCACATGTGCACTTTGTTGAAATCTGGCTGTTTCTACATCTCTGACAAGGGGTGATTTTTGCCATATTATTTCCTGCCTGGCAAACTTCTAACATTCCTTAAAGACCCAGATCAATTGTCGCCTCCTCCATGAAGTCCCTTCTAGTTCCCTGAGCAGAATACTTTGTTCACATCTGTAATTATCAGGAGTAAAATAACACTGAACAACGAGAAACACAGCTAGCGTTTAATGAACACGTACTCTCTGCCTGTCTTTCAGTTGATGATTTCATGTGCATTGTCTAATATAAAGGCAGATGCTATCACCATTTCCATTTTACAGAGGAAGAAAGAGACCTGGGGGAGCTCTAAGTAACTTGCTCAATGTAATTAAGCTAAGGGGTGATGGCCACTTTTTTTTATTTGGTGGTTTTCAGGTTTGAACTCAGGGCCTTGAGCTTGCTAGGCAGGCACTCTACCACTTGAGCCACTCTGCTAACCCATGCCACCTTTGAACCAAGCTCCTCCTTTTTCCAGAATTCACGTCCTCAAACATTTACAGCACCACCTAGTATCACATGAAGTGTGTACATGACTGCCCTCTTTAGGAAATGAGGAAACCCCAGACAGAAGAGAAGCCTACTTTATTTCTTTGAGTACTCTTAGCACCTAACAGGTAAATGTTTAAGGCCATTATACAAAAGAAAAATGCAGGATGAGAGAGAGAGAGAGAGAGAGAGAGAGAGAGAGAGAGAGAGAAAGAGAGAGAGAAACTGATTTGCCCATGGCTGTATAAGTAGCAAAAAACTGGAGCCAGGCTGGGGATGTAGCTCAGTGCTTGCCTAGCATGCACAAGGCCCTGGATTCCATCCCCAGCACTACAAAAAAAAAAAAAAAAAAAATAAAATAAAATAAAATAAAATGAAGGCAATATTCTAATCCAGTCCACATAATTTCAAATCCTTCCAAATTCCACTGCCCCATGCTATCTCAAACTTCATACTTGAGCCTTACAGATGGAAGGACCTTACTTTATCCCACTGACAAGACAGAATTTCTGGCACTCATTTCCAAAGGTCACCTGTGCTCCATGCAGGGCATGCCAGAGTCATGGAGGGGAAGTTGCTAGGCTTAGTCTTGAAGTCTAGGCATGGTGCTACCAGCAGGAAGTAGGGGAGACCTCCAGGGGTCAGACACAGCCTGGGCAAGTGCCCATGGCCTCAAAGAGCCTTGTGGTCAGCATCAAGTTCAGAAGCCTTGTCCAGCATGGCTCCCTGGCTCCTTGGGAATTTATTCCTTTTGCTCCACTTTTGCAAGGCTGGAAGGGAGCTGTCTGATTTCCAGAGGGCAAGAGTTCAGCCAGGTTTCTGCAAAGCACAAGTCAGGGGTTTTCTGAGTCCTGCTTGAAAATTCAAAGAGAAGGCTTTGCCAGTGCCTCACCCCCACGTAAATTACTTTGGTGGATTTGATCAGCAGCACTTTCTTCCTGTTTTCACATTCATTCACAGAGAAGCTTCTTGAGTTTCTACTTCTCTCTCTCTTTTGGTGGGACTGGGGTTTGAACTTGGCTTTGCACTTGCAAAGCAGGCACTCTACTGCTGGAGCCACACCTCTAGTCCATTTTGTTCTGGTTTGGAGTTGAGGGACTATTTGCCAGGTCTGGCCTTGAACTAAGATCCTCCCGATTTCAGCCTCCCAAGTAGCTAGGATTATAGGTGTGAGCCACCAGTGCCGGGTTCTACTTCTTTAAAAATGGCCTTAATTATTAAAAGCAGACCTGGTGATAGTTCTTAAGTTCTGTCTCAGTTTTGTTTATTTTTCTGTGAGTCTTTTTCAGAACAACTTCATCACATTAACTTTTATTTGTGTGGTGGTTGGGTGGAGGACATAAACCTTCAGTGAGTGAAATACAGAAGAGTTTGGGCACTGACAGCGTTTGTCCCCAGGCCACTCACTATTAATGGACAGGGCTGGGACTCCTGCAGTGTGATAAAGATATTCTAGGCTGCAGAGATGGTATGCGCTGTATTTCTTTTCATATTCCTTCATCTCAGGTCAAGCCATCAATTTTTTTTTAAGACAAGGTGTTGCTATGTAGCCAAGTCTGGCCATGAACTGACAATCCTCCTGTCTCAGCCTTCCCAGTGCTGGGATTATAGGCGTGGGCTACTACATTTGGCTCTTCCATCAAACTTTAAAGTACTTACTAGAAGGATTTGAAATTACACAGACTGGATTAGAATACTGCTTCCATTTTTTTTTTTTTGTAGTGCTGGGGATGGAATCCAGGGCCTTGTACATGCTTGGCAAGCACTGAGCTACATCCCCAGCCTGGCTCCAGTTTTTTGCTACTTATGCAGCCATGAGCAAATCAGTTTATCTCTCTCTCATCCTGCATTTTTTCATTTGTGTAATGGCCAGGAGGGAGGGGGAGGGAGCAGGTGAGGGAGAGTAGGGAGACTCATGCCTTATTCTCTGAGTATGGTATAAAGGAATGAACACAGGTTATGGAATTAAAAGACCTCATTCTAATCCCAGGTCTTGTCAAATGTGATCTTAGTTGAGATGTTTAACTTTGCTGGGTCTCACTTTCCTCCTTGATAAAGTGGGACCACTGATCCCCAAGTTGCTCAGCTGGTATAAGAATAAAATGAGGTGATGTATGGAAAAGACTCAGTACAAGGTCTGGCTCAGAGAAGATGCTCCACGAATGGTAGCTGTCTGACTACCATTACTTGGGGTATGAGAATCAGTGATTCTGTTTATGTTTAGGAGAGTGACATCTAGGGGCAAAGGGCAATATTGCATCTCAGCTCTACCAGTCATAGACCTAATCAACAGATTCATGGTGGGAAGGTGGGAGAATAAGAGAGGCCATATCTAATTTCCTCCTGGCACTATTCCAAAGCCTGGCACTTGACCAGTGTTTGTGACTGAATGGATTTAGGCTAAGTACTTATGAATCACATTTGATTTATTAATTGGAGAAATATTTGAGTTCCTATGCTGAGCCAGGCTCTGTTCTAGGTACTGGGGACAAAGTAGCAGTGAAGAAAGAATAAACATTGTGGCCTCATGGAGCATGTATTTTAGTGGGGAAGACTAATAATTAAACAAATACACCAATGCATATATAAAATACACTACCAAAGAGGTGATTTAAAATATCCTTTTTTTTTTTGGGCCTACACTTTGAGCCACTCCACCAGCCCTTTTTTATGGTTGGGTATTTTCGAGATAGAGTCTTATGAACTATTTACCCAGGCTGACCCCTCTGAGCCAGCTTTCTCAAGTACAAAATGGGGAAATAACTATACAATCCACATTAGGTGACCAGAGCCTGGTGCAGCAGAAGCCAGCTATCATTTCTAAATATCACTTTCCCTTGTTAGAGTAGGGAATAGCAAACTACAGATTTTGCTCACTGTCTGCTTTTGTCAATAAACACAGTCACACCCATTCATTTACATGTCTGTCCATGGCTGAGAAAAATATGTCTCAAGCCATATTAAGCTGAGGGAGCTACAAAAGAGAAAGCCACAGGATCTCATGTATTTACATGTGACTCTTTACAGATAAGTTTGACCTGACCCCTGGTTTAGAAAAAAAGGCGTTTTCTTTGAATTCTTTTAAAAACTACAGATTTTGTTTTTTGGAGACAGTGTCTTGTTATACAGCTCAGGCTGGCCTGGAACTCAAAATGTAGTCCAGACTGGCCTCAGCTTCTGAGTGCTAGGATTACAGGTGTGTGCCCCCATACCTGGCTTGACTTCTCTCTCTCTACATAATTGATGGCACTTGGGTTTGAACTCAAGGCTTTGTACTTGCAAAGTAGTGCTCTACTGCTTGAGCCACACCTCTAGTCCATTTTGCTCTGGTTAGTTTTTGGAGATGGGGTCTCAAGAACTATTTGCCCAGCTGGCCTCGAATTGTGAGCCTTCTGATCTCAAGCTTCCAAGTAAGTACGATTATAGGCATGAGCCACCAGCAGCCAGCGACTTCAGAATCCAGACTGGCCTTCTGGTAGGGTGCTAGAAAGGAGCACCCTCTGAGGGGAAGGCAGTGTGGATGATCCGTGAGTGGTGCGGTGCGCTGTCCTGCCCTCCTGCCATCACTTGGATGGCTGATTCTTCCAGATGGCTGCTTGAAGGCCTCCCCTTGGCATTTCCTTAGGCTGAGCCCAGGTGAAGGTCAGAGGGGATGTCCTCAGATGCTTTGCTCATGTTATTGTTGGCAACAGCACCAAGTCATATTTGTCCTTAAGAACATCTGCCCCAGAACAGAAGGTCTCATCTCTGAGTTACTGCTTCATCTCATCAGTTCAATTTGGTCCTAGCGAGAGGCAGAATAAAGCCTGTAATAAGCTTCTCCATTTAAGATCTCATGATTGGTCCTTAGAAAAAATAGTAACATGCTATAAAAAATCTGAATTTGGGAGCATTAAGTCACTATGTGTCAATACTTTCTTTAATAGCCTCTTTTCCCTTAATGTCTTAAAAAATATGACCATCTGGGGTGAAGCTTGTGGATATGTGCTTGGGGAGAAGGCCTGCCATCATGGGTAGAGGGAGAGGAAGTGGGCACTAAGGAGTAAGGGAAAAAGCAAGAAGACTAAATGAAAAAAAAAAAAAAGACATGACTGCATTTAGAAATTTATGTAAATCTATAATGTATCAGTAAAAAAAATATTAAGGGGCCCACTAGAAAAATCCAAATTTCTCTAAAATAAACCTAATAAAATAAGTCAGTCACACAAGGACAAATATTCAGCTTACGTGAGCTTCCCAGAGGAGTCAAGTTCAGAGATAGAAGGTACAAGAGGGCCTGGCTAGTGTTTAATGGGTATGGGGCTGCAGTTGGGAGATGAAAACACTTTGGAGGAGGATGGTGGTGATCATTGCACAGCAATATGAATGAACAACATGCATAGCCAAAGCTCTGGGGGACAAGATTTGGTCACCGATTTTGTTGTGAAAATGGCTAAGGCCAAGGAACACACCACTGTGGCATGAGGATGTTGATGGAGGTGCTCTAAGCTCTCTAGTTGTGCCAGGAATGGGAAGCGGAGTGTGTGGCAGAGAAGAGAAGTGGGTGCCTTGTGGTAGATCAAATGCCTGATGATCCCGGGGACCAGATTATGTCAAAGGCCCCGACGTTCAGAGTGAGGCTCTGCTCCATGATTCCAGTTTTTTATATAACTAAAGTTGGTTTTGTTGTCGTTGCTTAGTTTTACTGACTTTTAACATTGTGGTGAAACACAATTTACTATTTTAACCATTTTTAAGTGGACAGTTTGGTGGCATTAACTGATTGGAAGTGACCTTGTGTGATTGGCACCTACTGACGTCAGCAGCCTGAGCTGTCTCTGCTCCTGTGTGTGAAGTTTAGTGCTCCTGTACCCTTTCTGTCCCTGATGTCACCCTCACCAGTCATGATGTCACTTCTCCCACTGGTTCAGATGTCCTCCTCACCATCAGTCTTCTTCTAGGTCCCTGGGGACACAATCACAGTTCCCTGATGTCCATCCCTCCCACCGTCTAGACCAGCATCAGGTACCTCATGGGCCTTGCATTTTACTCCCCATGGTCCTTGACATTGTTATCCTTAAAAAACAAAAAAAAAAAAAAAGAAAAAAAGAAGAAAAGGAAAAGTAGTAAAAAACGGGTTGGGCCATTTTAAAGTAAAAAAACCAGAATTATAAAAGGTGGGTGGGTCTTCCTTGTCAGAAGAGCCCTTTCCTTGGGTGCCCTGTCCCCCACAAGCCTGGGCTCCCAGAGTGTGCACACACCCTCGGCTGGAGCAAGGCCCCCTTTCGTCTCCGCAGTGCAGGAGGAAGGGGCTGAGCTTGTGGTCCCTGGAGACCACAACCCTCACCAATCCATAAGAACTTGCAGACTCGGAGCACTGAAGTTTCCCCGACACGTCGTGGATTGGTGCCTGTCAAAACGTTCCTGCTCAGCAATCGCTCGAGGAAGGGAACACAGTGGCCAGGTCTTTATTACTGGTGACAACTTGGATGAGTCACACACTAACACAAAGGGATCAACACTGATTTCTTCCACACCAGGATGGGGCTGCATCAATGACACAGCATCTCTAGCCAGAGCTGCAGAGCAGGAGGGTCCAGAAACCCCTCAGACCAGCGTCTCTCACGCTCTGACCAACGCTGCCACAAACGCAGGCTCTTGGGTCCACCCCAGCATTCTGGTTTCTTAGGACCGGTGTGGACCTAAGAGTTTCCTAGACGCTCCCAGGCAAAGGCAGCCCGCTGTGAGCAGCCCTGAGCCAGGCCAGATGTCTAGCTGTGTACGTGCACAGTGGTCCTTCGATTCCATGGGTTCAGCCAATACAGATGGTTCACTTTGCTGTTAGGCCTGCAACTGCTGCATCTGTGCTAAACATGTACAGACTGCTTTTTTTTTCTTGTCATTATTCCTGAAACAAGATAGTATCACAACTATTCACACAGCATTTACAAGGTAAGTATTATATTGTAAGTAATCCAGAGGTGATTGAAGGGATATGGGAGGAAGTGCACAGATTCTATACAAAGACTAGGCATTTTATAGAAGGTACTTGGGCATCCTTGGATTTTGGTATCCTGGGTTGGGAGGGGCTTGGTTCTGAAACCAGTCTCCCAAGGATACCAAGGGACAATTGTGTCATCTGGGAAAGTCTAACAATTACTGATGCTGAGCTATGGCTCCAGAAATTTGGGCTCATCTGGTCTGAGCTGGGTGACTTCTTGTAGTTTTCAAAAGCTGCCATGGGACTGTAACCTGAAGTCATGTGGCCCAGCCTCTGTCACAAGGGCTGCCAAATCCCAGAGAGCAGCAGGGAACACAGGGAGTGGGAGATGGATCTGGGCTCTTCCTTCCCTCTGAAATACGGCCTGCAGTTTTCCTGACATGGCCTGGGTGATGGGCAGGGACCAGAGAAGGCAGCATCCACTCCATCCCACCTGGAGAGTTAGGTGCAGCTCTGAAAGCTGCGTTGGCAGTGGAGAGTGAGCCTGACTGGTGAGAGGCACTACTGGGCACCAGGTAGGGGCCACAGAATCACGGCTTAGGAGATGCTGTTACTATAGTATGTCTCCATGTCTACAGATAAGAAACGGAGTCCTAAAGGACTGAAAGTGTCGTCTAAGGTCACATGGCCCAGCAGAGCCTGTTTGCCTGCTGCCCCACTGCCTGGGAAGGTTTGCTGTCTACCCCAGGTGCCAGATGACAGATGGCAGCACACACATTCTGGAAAGAACCGGAAAATCAAGAGTCCAGGTTCCAAAGGGTGGCCCATGATGCCAGGTCTGCTGAGGAGAGGTCTGCGAACAGGACATGCCCACATCAGGGGTTTCAAAAGTGTATGTAGAGGGGGGCTAGGGCTGAGAGGGGCCCTGGGTGGGAAATGCCTCCTCTCTCTGACTTTGGATCAAGGGAAGGCTATAAAGAGACCAGTTGAATGGCTTAATGGGGACCTGTTATCAGGGGAGCCCTGTGGTCTGCTGCCTAAGAAACCCCCCAAAAGGGAGGGCAGATGGCCAGGTGCTTGGAGGATGGAAAGAAAGGGGGGGCATCTCTGCAGTGTGGTTAACTGTGATTCAAAAGCTTGTACGGGGTGGGGCGCTGCCGGAGTCTCCCATGCATCAGGTGTGGCCCGTCCAAGCCCAGTTGGTGGACCAGACAATCCCAGGGTGGGGAACCTGAGGATGCTCAGGATGGAGGAAGATGCACCCACGTGAATACTCTCTGGAGATTATAATACTATCTCTGGAGACAGTCCCAGCAATGTGGGGACCCACGAAGTACCCATGAAAGTCTAAAAGGCCTAGTCAAATCCCTGCCTGGCCCAGCAAGCCTGCAACCCGGCAGGTTAGGCCTTTCCTGTCCCTGCTACCACTCCAGTGCTCTACTCTGGTGAGGCTGGATGCCCTGGTGAATAGGGAGAATTTCAGGCTGGCCAGCCTGGGTCTCTCTCCCGAGGAGGCTGGTGGCTGGCCTGCGTTGGGGAGGGAGGAGTGAGCCAGGTTGAAGTTTTGAATATTACAGTGGACTCCACTTGTTAGTTACCGGTTAGAGGACCTTCAAAGTCCTGAGATGCTCTTAATTTTGCCTAGGAACTGTGGAACCACTGCCAGAGTTTACAGGACAGAAGGTACAGTTTCTCTACGGCTTAAGAATCATGCCCATTCATCAGTGCCATGGCTGTGCCCACCCACAGGGTGGCTGCTTTCTAACTGTGTGGAGGCTGAGCGCTAGTCCCCTAATGGTGTCTTTGAAAACAGTCATTAAGTTAGGCACCAGCCCCGTTTGTTTTACAGCCCTCTTAAGGGCTCCCCACTGGCCCTATCTTGAAGTTCACATTCCTTAATGAAGCCCTTCCTTCCCGCCTCTCCCGGCCCCACCCATGCCCTGAGGGTAACATTGAGCCTCTCAGTCCCCCGACCTTCCCGACCTTCCCAGGTTCAGGCTGACACCCACAGGCACCCTCCACGAGCTTTGCAGCACTGCCTCTGCCTGACCAAGTCCCATTCGCCTCTAGATCTGCACAGGTGGCGTTTCTTACACCTCCCTGTGTGTTGTAAACTCTTCGTTAATCATCTGATTTTCCCCAGAGGCTGGGATGCCAGGAGGTGGGGACTGTGTTTTGCTTGAATTCCTAGCACACAGTAGGTGCTAATGTCTGTTTGCTCAAAAAATGCTGAGTAACCATTGCCAATACCCTAGAACAGAAGGAGAGTGATTACCTTCTTTTTCATTTTCACATTTTTGAAGATGGCGTGGACCCTCCAAGTCTTTGCAAACATGGCCCCAAAGGCAGTGGTGTAGCCCACGGTGAGAATCCAGGTTCTGACCTAGAGACCATGAGAAAACAGAGGTGTTACCATCCATCTGCTCAGGTGGCCCTTGTCAGGTATGTGAGCACTCAGCAGGGAGAATGTAGACGACAGGACAGACCTTCTCCCCTCTGCATGCTGGTCTCATTAGCAACCTCCCATCAAATTTCAATTTGATAGCTACTTCAATCTACCAGCCACTTGTCAGTCCCAGGGCATGGGGCACAGAAGAGTGTGAGACTCAGATCCTTCCTCCATCAGGCCCTCAGCCCAGAGACAGTCAGTCATAGAAGGAAGGGCAGAGGCCCCAGCACTGCTGAGGGGTCACTAGGTGATGGACCAATCCCCTGGCCTTCCCCCATTCTCTCCCTCCTTCCCTCTTGCCACCCAGCTCTTTTCCCTACTGCCCAGTGCAACCTCAGGAGTCCAGTGACTCAGCACCCAGTCAGTTGGATGCTGAGGCCACGTCTGGACCTTGGGGCCCCCTCAGGATTAAGGCCCTGTCTGACTCTCACCTGTTCCCCAGGACCAAGATATACATTGATCCCCAGCCCTGGCCAGCAGTTGATGGAGACAGCAGCCCTGATAGAACCTACAACCTGGGTCCCTGCTGGCTGGGACAGGTTGGCCACCGTCTGATAGTGACTGGAGGACTCCAGGATGCTCTCTCCCACTTGCACTGTCGTTATGCCAGACCTCACCTTCACTGGGTAGCCTGTATGTCCTCCAACACCCAAGACACTTGTAGACTCTAGAAACACTCCCACCTGTGCCCAAAGGTGCATTCTGCCTGCTCCTGCCTTCCCAGCAACTTGGATCACCAGCCTTTCGGTGACAGCACCTGTCCCCTGCCTGTTCTGTTTATGAAAACTGGAATTAGCTTGGTAAGTGAAAGGCTAACCGCCCTAAGTCAAGGCAGGGTGGCCTTCCAGCAATGGTTGAGGAGCCACTGATGTGTGCCTGTGGACAGTAATCCGAGGGACTTGGCTTTCATTTTCTTTAATTTATTTTGCATTCCAAAAAGAAGGGGAAAGTCAGACGGGCAGAGTGAGCCACAGTGCTCTGGAGGGGACATAAGATGGGACATGTCACCTACAATAGATCCAGGTATGCAAGAATAGTAAACAGAGGAGGGAAAGTAGGAGAATCAGGAACGGAGACTTGAGTGTCTCCAGCGATCAGTAAGACACTCTTATCCATCAGAGTTGCAGGGCGCCTCCTACACTGTCTCACTCATCCATCCGCGTGCAAGCTCATCTGTCCATTCAAGTGCTACTAGGCCAGAAGTGAAGAATAAAAAGATGAAAACAACAACAACAAAAACTGGGGTGATTCTTGAGCTGTCAGTTGAGTGAGAAAACCACTTAAAAGTGGGGAAACTGAGGCCCAGAGCATTTAACACAGTCTCCTCAACACACAGAACCGAGCCTGGAACACAAGGCCTTGACTCAGTCCAGCCACTGTCCCCCGTGGTGTCCTGCTGCCTCTCCAGAGTCTGCTTAACCCAAATCAGGCACATTTATACCCAGAAGCCAGCTGCTCAGGGGTGAGGACACATGGGGAGCGGCTGACCAGTTATAACACACTTTTAAAGAAGACCATAAGACAGTATTGTTTTTCATTTTTGAGACAAGGTTTTTTTATGTGGCTTTGAACCCATGAACCTCTTGCGGCAGCTTCCTGAGTGCTAGGATTACAGACATTGTGGGTCACTGCACCCAGCAAGATCAGAGTTTTCACAGGATCACAACACCAGTGGCCTACTAGCATTTCGTCGTGTTCTATTTCAAAGTCAGTTTTAACCAGAGGCATACACAGAACACGGATGCTTCATAAAGGATGGAAACAGATGATATAATGTCATTATTTTTACCTCATCAGAGGCTGACAAAGATCTCTTATGTCAAGGACATGTGTCACTCCAGTGTGCCTGGCATTATTAATATTTCCTTTGACCTGTGTTTTAAAGCGGTCACTCAGACCACTCATCCGTTTTGTGAGGGTTAATGTGATTAAGGCTCAATAATATAAATTAAGTGAGTTAAAACTCGATAATATAAATTGGATCTGGTGTCTGGAAATTGCAAGGAGTTGCCATAAACTGAAAGCAAATGATGTCTGAGGACGCCTAGGCAGAAAAGAGCTCACGCAGCTGCCTGATGATGAAGCTGGAGTTGGCTGGTGTCGGTGAACCTGGACTTTGGGTGGTTCCCGCCATTCCTTCCAGGATGAGGGTGGCTCACTGTGCTTGAATTCCTTGTTGAAAAAAATGTGGTTTGTGCTGGGCATGGTGTCCACATCTATAGTCCCAGCTTTTCAGGAGGCAGGAAGACTCCAAGTGTGAGGCCAGCCTAGGCTACAAAGTGAGTCCCAGGCTAGTCGGTGCTATGTTGGGAGACCCAAACAAAATGTGGCTTGTGCATGCGGAACACCTCATTCCTTTTGGGCATCTGGAAGTTTGGTATTGAGTAGGCAGGAGTGCTTATGTGACTGTCCCTAATAAAAGCCCAAGCGCTGGGTCTCCCATGGGCTTCCCTGGGAGACAGCATTTGCCATGTGCTGTCCTATTCATTGCTCCTGAAGGACATCTGTGTGTTCCTTGTGACTCCGTGGGGAAAGCTCTTGGAAGCCCGCCAGGGTCTTCCCTGGACATGAGGCTTTCCCTTGGCTTGGTTTTGCTCAGTGTCCTTTCACGGTCATTGATCATAGCTGTGAGTATGACTGGATGCTCAATCCCAGTGGATCACTGAACCTGGGGGCTGTGTGGGGGACCCTTGATACAGGCCCACCACTCTGGTGTGACAGACTGGCCAGCTACTATGTCCTCAGGAGGTTTTTTGTATGCTATTAGCAGACACACCCACTGGCCTGGGCCCAGGGTCAGCCCTGGTCTTCCATCCCATCTGGAGGCAGCTGTTACGACCAGGGAACACTGTGAAAGCAGGACAGTGGGGGTCACCAGCAGGGCTGCCCGCCCAGGCTGACTCTGCCTGTCATCTCTGGGCTACCCTCTGCCCGCCTCCTCTCTGTCTGTGAGATGGACTGGGTCCAGGACTGAGCTGAGCTGTCTGTCCCTACATAAGGGTTCTCCCTGGGTTGTTGTTCCCACTCTTGGACTCCCACCCCTTTGTGCTGACAACTCCTCCAGCCTGCATCCTCTTCCCAGCTCCAGCCTGCATGCACTATGTCACCAGAGGCCTAGACAAAATGCAGGTGTCCCACAAAGCCTTCACACTCCACAGCCCAAGCTGAGCTCATCAGCTCTGCCACCATCCCAGGTTAGGAACCTGGGAGTCATCCACTCCTCCCCACTTTCACTGTCCTATTCCATCTCCAAGTCCATCTCCCCCGACCCTGCAGGCCTGCTCACTGCCCCTCCCTGCACTCTGAGACACGGGTGCTAGGACTGCGCCTCTTGGACACTCTGCCCTGATGGAAGGACCATCAGGGACCAGGGCTGCCGAGAGGGACAGGAGGACTTGTGTGGTGTTGCCACCCACTGCTGTGTTGTGGCTGGATCTCTTTCTGCGGTGCTGGCTTTCTCTGGGACAGGAAAACCTCTTTTCCTTACTCTTTCCACTCCAGTGAGGGCTCTGGGGTAGCCAGGCCACCTCTGAGTGCCTCAGCCTCCCGTGTTTGCTGCCTTTACCCCACCTATACACCTGCAGCTCTTCTCCTCATGTGACCCCTGAGGTTCTGTCAGGCTATGTCTGATGCTCCATGTCACTCTGTATCCCTTGTCTGCTCACCCTTCCTCTGTCCCCTGCTGCTGTCCTATGCCAGGCCTGCCAGGTTGGACATCATGAGCAGGGACTCCCCTACCAGGGTCAGGACCTGGCTTTGTCATTATCACATGTGTGAAGTGGGCAGGTCACATAGCTCCTATGAGGCTCACTGTCTTTGTCTGTGAATATGGACAACAGTAATGTCCACAGCTTCTTGCAGGGATTGTGAGGATTTCCTGAGTGATGGTGTGGAAAGGCTGTGGGTCCCCATGAGCACCTGACTTTTATTCCTGTGTCTGCAGGACATGAGGTCCCATGTCTGCCCTCGCCTCCTGCCCCTCCATCCCATGCTCCTGAGAGACTTCTCTGGGAAAATCCAAGCAGGTCTCCTGGGGTTAGCCCTTCACTGCCATGGAGCCCTTGGGTTAAACTCCAAATTCTTAGTAGGGTATGGTGCCCTGCTGCTCCCCTCACACCACAATACCCCTTGCTGTCAGGCCTGGAGCAAGCTATTTCCTCTGCTTAAAATACCATTCCTCACTCGCTCTCCTCACAAATTTTCATTTGTCCTCTGACGTCCAAAGGCATAGGCCACCTCCTCTGAGAAGCCCTCCCAGACCTAGCAGGAAGATGAGGATCGTCCCCTTCCAACGTTGGCCTTCATGCCCATTTTGGCTGCACTGGTTATACCTGGATGACCCCATTGGCTTCCTCCAGGAGCCACTGGGAGGCAGGACCTGCCATGCCCACCTTTAATTGTCTGAGGCCAGAGGAGTGACCAGGCACGATGGACCACTTAGGATGAAATGAACTCTTTGTTACCAGAAATGTGCAAGTTGAGCCTGGGGAAACACATGAAAGGCACATTGCAGCACTGGTAGCAGAAGAGGTGGGGTTTGTGGCTTGAGGCCCTTTCATCCACATATTCAAGGAAAAGTTGGAGGACCCATTGGGTACTAGGGGAGCATGTCCTGTGGTCAGGGAGGTTTCATTTGATGTCCTAAGCACCTCCCTTCTGTGTGACTGTATAAAGCCAAATGAACTAGAAGGTTCTGAGGGACTGTAATGATTTTGTGTTCTGTCACCTCCAATATGAAGCCCTGCTGATTCATCAACACCAGACAAGCAGCACTTCACGCTTTCTCCCTAAGTCTGAAACATACACAGTTTATTCTGTGTGTGTTACTGAGGTTTTTTTTTTTTTGTCTTTTCTTTTTTGCTGCTGAGATTGAACCCAGGGCCTCGAGCATGCTAGGCAAGCTCTGTACCACCAAGCTACATCCCAGCCCTGTG